CTGACAGCCATGCTGGTCAGTTGCACGAGGCACGGGTTCTGTACAAACCCTGCTAAATTACCGATTTTGGGAGAGCAAACACCCCGCTACTCACCTTTCCTGAACCGGTACCAACGCCGGGAACACCTAGGGTGAACTCTGTGCCGTTCCTGACTCGGGCAGCACATGCATCTATGAAGCAAAAGCCTCCAGCTGATTTCAGCCTGGTGTGATACTGCGGCGGGAGAGGCGGCTGATCTCCACGCCCAATCCTAGCCAGGCAATCCGGTGGCAAGACCCTGTGCATCCCCACCCTCCCCCCTTTGGACCGGTGGGGGATATCCCGGTCCCCACTAGGCAAGCTTGTCTCCTCAACGAAGGCTTTCTGTGGCTAGCATGAACCCAAGCGACATACCCAAGATGGCTGCCACGACTGAGTTTCCTTGCTCCCAAGCAGACACGGAGTGCCAGAGATGGAGAGCCCGCTTTGACGCTATATGTGAAAAATTCTGTCTGCAAATCGCTGGCCAAACCACACCATCTCTGGCACCAGAGGCTCAAAAACCACTACTGCCTACTGCAAGGCCGCTCAGGATAAAGGCTACCAGGGGCCCAGCCCCACAGCATCACCCACGCAGACGGAGAACAATCCGCCGCTGGCCGCGACAGTCCAGCAAGACACTTCATTACTCCCAAAAGGGGAAAAAAGGGAACTCCCAAGAATCAGAGCTCAAGGCTCACTGAAGCAGTCATTCACGCTAACCTAGAGCTGGAGGGTTATCTTTCCTCGCTCCCACCGCGCCATTAAGTGCAGTGACAACCTTCCTCCCACTGAATGCCTCCCAAGCATGGGCATAGGGTGACTCTGGACCTGTCACACTGTGCATCCCTACCACATACTGTGGGTGTTGTCCAGCCATATATGGATGCCGCTTTCTTCTCCTCAGGCATCTACAGCATAAGTTTAGCAAAAATTATTATTGTTATGTTTACTCTCCATCCATTTTTATTATGTTCCTATACTTGTGTGCTGTATACCTTATCTCGTAAGTCAAGTTCCAGTGGTATACAAAGCCTGACTTCACAACACAAGATAGCACATAACAACTCACTTCCAATGTCTCCCATGCAGGACAGTTAGAACTCTTAGTCTGTGACACCTGGTTCTAAACCACAACGAGCCATGCTTCTCTAACATGTACTAATAATGAGAAATGTGCCTTATATATTTCATGCCATGTTATTGTCTATTCTGGAAAGCTTACACTCGCTATCATGGCTCGGTAAGCATGTCTGTATATCTTGTGCACAACAACAACAAAAAAAGAAATTGATATAAGATATTGCTAACAATCCAGTCTTGTTTATTTTAGGGGGAAGCTAATTGACACAATCTTGGATTGGGAGGATTCTCTTCCTGATCGCGATCTCAACATGGCCGATGAAGCTTGCAGGTAACATACGATGGATGAGAAGGACTACTTGCATAGGAGAATTGTATTTATTTATGTGTGTGTGTATATATATAATGTGTGTGTGTGTGTATGTGTGTATATATATATAATTATAATGTATGTACATTTAAATTGGATTTTCTTGTGGCACTATTTTAATTTTTTTGTATCCTCAGGAACGCTGACCTCTCAATCACTCTCGGAACGTCCCTGCAAATCAAACCTAGTGGCAATCTTCCACTCCTTACCAAAAAGAAGGGTGGAAAACTGGTGATAGTTAACCTCCAACCAACAAAACATGTAAGTCCAGGGTAGCAAAAAGTATGTATTTCAAACACATGGTACATAATAGTACTTCATTTATCAGTCCAGACACCCCCTACTTACCGAACGGATTCTGTTCTAATGACTCGATCATAAAACGGATTTGTCGGTAAATGAGGGTGCGCTAAAGATCATGCGCGCCAGTGCAGGTCTGTGTTCGGGGAAAATTCCCAAATCTCTAACGTGGGGAATCCGTTGAAGCTCCGTGCTAGAGAGCTGGTCATAAGTCCGAGCCTCATTAAACAGGTCAGTCATAAAGTGAGGACTACCTGTATTATAAAGAAACATTGATCTCGAAGCTAATGATTTGGTCATTTATTTGATTCTGTTTCCACACATATAAGAGTAAATATATGTAATCCATTTCCAGTTATGTGCACCGTTTTAATTAAGAACCATTGAAATTCATCCTTATTATAACTTTTATTTAGTAATTAAATATTTTACCAGGAAGGATACATCGAGATTTCTCTCGTTTTCAAGTATGTCCTAGGTCCACAAAACATTGCATTGATAGAATAGGGTACAATAAAATACAAAAACAATATTAATGCACAATATATACAAAATTTAACATAGAACAGGTAGGAAATATATAATCAACTGTGACATTGGGGATTGCATTACTAAACACTTTGCTTTGAAAATTACTGTGCTTGTACTCTTCTTAGGATCGACACGCTGACCTATTGATTCATGGATATGTTGATGAGGTGATGAAGCAGCTCATGCAACGTTTGGATTTAAAAATACCTATGTGGGCAGGGTTGCCGTTAAAGACAGAAGACAATGATCCAGACTTTAAAACCAAGGACATAAAATTAAAAAATGAGGTTTTGGATTCCCCTCAGGACAACCAAGACAAGAGAGGAATTTGCGACGAGTCTCCTCATGAGCAAAAGAGATTAAAAGTTGAGCCAGTCTGTGTATAAATTAGAAGTGTATTAGTTATTATCAATCCTATATATGTATAGAAAATATCACATTTGTTTTTGTTACACAAGTCAAAAATGTTTCTACAGTTTGTTTGGTCTGTGAATTTTTGTTTGTTTTCTCTAAATCAGATCTGCAATGGTAACATTCAGTGGCGTACGTACCACGGTCGCAGCTTCAACCGGGCCCGTCACTCCAGGAGGCCTGGCTGCCCTGCAGACACCTGCGACCGGGTACCCCACCGCCTTTTGCGGCCCCGGCCCGCGTGGCAAACTGACGGGGCCGCCGTCCAAGGGGTCCATCGGGTGGCCCATGCTGTCAGGGCCACCCAATGGACATGGATTGTCAGTTTTGCACCGGGGCCCCGTGAATTGTGTGTACGCCACTAGTAACATTTAAAGTGCCTTCAAGAGCAGTAGCCCTTAATACATTCCAAATTTTTTCTATTGGTTTGCCATCTGAAGGCCAGTTTTGTTTTGTAGTACCCAAAACTGTGGAAGAATTACAACCCGATGATGTGAAATTTATTCCGATTTTAATGTTTTTTTTGTTTTTTTTTTTGTTAACCTTGATCTGGACCAAATTATTATTTGATAACATTAAAACACATATAGAAATGCTTGTAGTATGATGTTAGCACAGCTCAACATCAATGTTATCATATTTCCTTTTTATTAGTTTTTTTTAATTAATATTTTTAAACCCTGTTTTGTTATTCCATTAGTTCTGCGTAGGTCTTGCTAGGTGAAATATTTATATTGGTTTTGAAAAGAAACAATATAAAAAACTGTTTAATTAGAAAAACACAGCATAATATCCGATCCTGTCTAAAGTGAAATTCTAAAGAAAAGGGAAAAACTTTAATATTTGTATTTTTGTATTAAATTGTACCAACCATACATTCTATCAGTGTTTTAAAACAAAAATTAAAAATCTCTACATGATGGAAAAACAAAATCCACATGCACAGTATATGAGAACATATTTTATGGTTTAGAGCAGGGGTTCTAAAAGGTAGATCCCCAGATATTCTAAAACTACATCTTCCATGATGCTTTGTCATTCTAAAAACATTCCAAAGGTATGCAAAGCATCAAGGGAGTTGTAGTTCTACAACATCTTGGGATTTACCTTTTGAGCACCTCTGGTTTAGAGCAATGCTGTACCATAGATGGGCATGGCTAGTACTACAGCACTGATAATCAAATTGCCCAGCCACACACTATTTCTAGTGATAGTGTATCAGTGTGAAACTACTGATATGCCGAAGGTGCAAAAGAAAATTGTCTCAGTGCTTCAGTGAGATATAAATGTTAAAGGGACACTATAGTCACCCGTGCAACTACAGCTTAAGCTAATTGTTCTAGTGAATGTAGCCTGTCCCTGCAGGCTTTTTAATGTAAACACTGTCTTTTCAGAGAAAATGGAGTGTTTACATTTCTGCCTAGGAACACGTCTGGTGGTCACTCCCCTGAGAGCCACTAGAGGTGCTTCCTGAGGCAGTGCTGCACATTGTCTCCACACTCTGCATGGAGACACTGAACGCTCCAGATAGGGATGCATTGAATCATCCCAGACGCAGAAATTGTGTGTATTGCATGTAATCGTTTTGTGAGTAAATTATCATCATCTTACAATTTCCATTTGTCCTAAAAAGGCATCTTTTCTTCGTGTTTTTTTAACCCCTTAAGGATACATGACATGTGACATGTCATGATTCCCTTTTATTCCAGAAGTTTGGTCCTTGAGGGGTTAAAGTGGCAATAAATATGTTAAAAGGGAAGCAGAATAATAAAGTGGTTGTTTATATGATTTAATTGAAATTTGTTTTCTAGTCCATTTTTTTTTGGGTTGGAAAAGCAATCGCATCTAGTAGGTGAATTATACTACTATAGGTTCAGTAGGTACTCATAAGTGTGGCTTGCTGGCCTGTTTTGTGTAAGAGATTTTAATATCCTGCATAAGTAGCAGCAAACTGAGCTGTGTCATAACTCCCTTCTACTCACTTGGAGTAACATCACTCTTAAATCTCTTACCCCTCTTCCCTCACCTGCCCCTTTTCCCTTGTTACCTATCTTCCTCTTTTCTTTGTCTAAGTTTTGTGTTTATCCAATTGATGCACTTTTAAATACTCTTCAATGTACAGTACTACAATGAATGCAATGATATTTGTATCTGACGTGCAATGTGTTCCCCTTAATTGTATTGTTCATTCTTTAACCTACTATCTTTGTATTGTACAGATTAATAAAATAGTAATACATTTTAAACAAAGGGTAGAATAATATATGATTTGTAGAGGCACCAAACAGGAACTTTACATTTGTGTTGAATTTGAAGCACTCACAGTTTGCTATAGCTGTAGTTGCGTAAAATGCTTTTTATGTTAAACCTTTATTCCTTCATTTTAGGGTGTTAGAACAAGTGAACATAGAAAGAGTGCGCAAAAAATATGCTTCGTATCCAGCTTTCCTTAAAGGGACACTATAATCACCAAAACAACTTAAGCTTAATGAAGCAGTTTGTGGGTATTGATCATGCCTCTGAAGTGTCACTGCTCAGTTCTCTGCCATGTAGGAGTTAAATCACCTTTGTTTCTGTTCATGCAGTTCAAACTGCCTGAATGAAAAATAAAAACTTAATTTCCAGTCTGGTGTTAACTCACTGTAGAGGTTTTAATCTCATACAAGAACCTCCTGCAAGGTCTAGCAACATACTAATAGTGCAGGAGATATGAAATTCTAATTTAACAGAATTTGCAATAAAGGAAGTGAAAACATTAGAGCTCACTTTTCACAAAGTATTTATGAAGGCTGTGCATGTTGCTTACAGGGAGGTGTGACTAGGGCTGCATAAGTACCGTAAATCCTAAATAGATGAGAATTGAGCAGTGAGACTGCAGGGGGCATGCCACACCCTGCAGGTGCAAAAATTAAAGCACAGGCCTGTGACCTACCTCACACCGGGTTAGAGTTACTCCTGGCCGGGTCCTCAGCGGGAGTTCGCTGCCAAGTAGCCGAGTCTGCTCAACACAAGCAGCCGGAAGACACACCAAACATGGGACGTCGTTCCCATGGGGCGTCGTTTTGGTACCCTTTTACAGCAGCAATCGCAGCACGAGATGGCGGCCATGGAACCTCCCTAGCTCCATGGAGCCAATTGAGTCAACTTAGCAGCCTACATTCTGGGACAAACTCTCAGTACCTTTGGCACACCGAGAGACAATCCTTCAAGACTTCAAAAAGCTGCTGGAAATTGACATAGCAGTGGTCAAGTAGGAGTCAAGGCAGTCACTGAAAAGGTTCTAGTCTCAGAAGAGGACATTATGGATCTGCGGGACAAATTTGTCCAACATGCAGGACACCATAAAGATGGTAGAATATTCTCAACAAGTAATAACGGTTAACATGGCTCTTATGAAGGACCATTACAGGCGGCACCATATCAAAATCAAAGGCGTGCCTGACACGTTTCAGCCTGAAGAATTACCGCACTACTTAAGGCATCTGATAGCTACTATCCTACCGCCACATTTACACTGTTACACGGGAGGTCATAGTTTGATGCTCTTATCTGCAGGCACATCTACCACTGCAAGATCCTGGGATCCCAGCCTAGTGGTTCAGTTTTTCCTAGGGATGTAGTGATGACCCACCTGGCCACCTGACATTGTGGCGAAAGCAGATTTGACCTACACTGCCCACTGTTGTGATTTTCTCCCCCACCCATATTTTGTTGCCTATTCTGTTACAACTAAGCCTTGTTGCCGCTCTACTGTTTTGATTGACCTGTATTGAGCTTACCTGACCCGAGTCGCATTGAGCCCATAGTGACTCGGTACGCTGTCTCAGTCGACTGTCTTTATTATGTAATGAGAAACTCTCATGACACCATAACCACTGAATTAAGCTATAGTGGTTATGGTACTTGGGTTGTTCCTTTAAGGGATTTTCTTTACTTTTCCATAAACATATAACATTACATTCATATCATACAAAATATCTTTATTGAGAAATCTATACAAAAATTATTTTGATGCAAAAGAAAACTGTACAGAACAATGCAAAGGGCTTCTTACAGAAATCAGTGAATATCGTAATGCAGGTAAATTACAAATTCAGTGCACGGGTCACAAAACAGGGTTTAATATTGGGAAATCCGTGATCATGCATCATTGTTTACTAGGTAGAGATAAGATTATCACTAAGCTGAATAGAACAATTTCTTACATGCCTGATTTATGTATCTGTGCTAAATGAATCAATGCTCTCTTTCTTAATAAGATTCTAGACTGCAGAAGTCACATTTATATTAATAAATCCCTTTGCTATAGTGTACTTGTTTTCTTCTTATTTACACTACTATAGTTATGGGGGTTTAAGCTCTGTAGATATGATAGGGATATGTGATTCCTAATTACACAATGTAGCGTAGCAGCTTACGCTGTTTGGAATATACCTGTTTAACTTTAGATCAAATTAAATTATTTTATCAAATAACTCAAAGATCCAATGTATTCCAACTAATTTTGCTTAGTTGCTGACGTGAGAGAATGTATGTTATGTGCTTTGTTGGATTTTTCTAAAACGTAACTTAAATGTAATACCTAAAACGTTTCTGTACGTTACGTATGTGTTTTTTTTCGTCTGTTCGATTTCTCTTACGTCTGTTTTTCATCTTTCCAATATCTATTTTGTAAGCTACAAAGTGCTAACCATGTTGGTAATTGTGTATCGGCTGGATTTTATCTAATAAATTTACTAAATAACCTATAAGCAATGAACAGAAGGCTCTGTGTTCTAAGTCTATTTTTGTTGTACGTGATCCTCTCTGATTTGGTTGTATCCCATAGTTGAATTACTGAAATCACTGTCTAGGTAAGAAGACACCGAACACCACGATGGGTTCACTGTATGCAAATTTAGGATATCATTTTTATTCCTCACTACATCTTGTATTATTATTATTGGCATTGATATATCGCCAACTTATTCAACAACGCTTTACAATGTTATAAAGGGGGAGATTTAACAATAAATGAGCCAATTACAAAATGTTACAGGAACAATAGGTTGATGAGGACCCTGCTAAATCGAGCTTACAGTCTAGAGGTGGATGGGTTTAAAAACACAATAGAAAGGGTATCGTGGAGGATAGCAACCAGACGGCAAGGTGGGAAAGTAGCAGAACCAGAAAGTGAGAGTGGAGTGTGGCCTTTTAAGTAAAATCAAGAGACAGGTTAGTGAGATAGAAGTTACTCTAGGAGACCAGAAGCTTTCCTGAATAGATGGGTTTAAATGACTTCTTTAATGAAGACTAGAGGGGCGTCTGATGGAGGGAGGCAGGATGTTACAAAGAAAAGGCCTCCCCCGAGAAGTCCTGCAAGCAGTGAGCAGTGGACAGAATAAGGTCACTGGCAGAGTGGAGAGACTGAGAAGGGACATACCTACAAATCAGTGAAGAAAGGTAAAAGGGACTAGAGTTGTGTTAAGCTTTATAGGTAAGGGTTAGTATTTTAAATTGACTCCCATAGTGTACAGGAAGCCAATGTAAGGACTGACAAAGGGGAGAGGTATGTGAGAAGAAAAATCCGTCTGGCAGCAGCATTCATAATGGACTAACGAGGCAGTATGACTTCTGGGCAGACCAATTAGAATAGAATTAAAGTAGTTAATGTGAGCGGTTACTAGAGCATGAACAAGCTCCTTCATAGCATCTTGTGTAAGAAAGGGGCTGACACGGGCAATGTTATTAAGGTGAAAATGGCAGGATTTGGCCACAGACTGAATGTGAGATGCATAGGTCAGGCCAGAATCGAAGATAACAGCAAGACAGTGAGTTTGCAAGGATGGGCTGATGTGGGTACCATGAACCTGCAGCATGAGTGAAAGAGGAGGATCAGATTATGAGGTTAATGCAGTCTGGGACAGACACATTTTAACAGTTACACGCTCTTATTCAGGGGTAGGATTACAGCTCTTCATACCCATTAAGTGTCTCATTCCAAGTAACCTGAGCCACCTGGTTATGTGTTCTATGGACATTTAAAGAACCGTACAATTGACTCAGTAAGCTTTTTTCCAACTTGGAAGCCACTTCTTCATTCAGAAGTCCTGTGTGATTGGCTACTTCAAGTATTTCATGCCCCAGTGGATGTCTTGACTCATTCATCATTGCTTCTGCAAAGTATTTTCTAAGTGGTCCCATCTCTGCGTCACTTGTGGGGCTGCTCTGACCACCCCAATGGTTAGAACCTTGGGGTTCATCTGGAAATTGGAAGACCCGTGATGAAGCAGATTCGTGCAGTGACCTAGAGAAGACTAATGAGAATAGTATAAATGTTTGTGCTAATATATTAGTTTTGATATTATTTATTCATATAGCATCAACATATTTCATATCAATGTAAAGGTAAATGATACACATGAGTAAAAGTAAAAAAACAAATGAGAAAACCAGGGACAAGCGGTCAAAAGTCTACTCTGTAAATCGGGCTTGGTGAGCCTGGTTATGGTCCAACGCTTTGAAATCAAATTTGACAAGCTGTGCCAGGACTTCTGGGTTCATATAGCCTTCCTCTGAAACAATATTCGAATCCAGCAACTAACACCGAGGGTCATCACTGCGCCTTGCTCCAACCTGACCCACTCCGACGCAAAGCCTAGCCAAAACCAGCTTGGCAAGACGTAGTGCCAATGGTGGGGAAGAAGAGGAGGTGCTTTGAAAGCAGCTTCAGTTTTGTCGTCCCAGTCTTGCTGGGAGCCTCTCCTGGGCGCCTCTCTTGGGCAACAGTTCATCGTAGGACATTCCCATACATGCCGCTTTAATCATCAAAAGGCCCTTGCTCAACACGTGCTACAGAAGCCTGTCATTAGGCCCTGAGTCCGGGACCTGCTTGTGGTTCAACAATAGACTTGTGAGACAGGTTCCATGGACTGTGTTTTGGCCCAGGGCGGGTAGAGTATAGCTGGCTTAATGCAAACCAGATACAGCTTCTTACATGCCGAGATATAGGCTACCTGTTCTTTCATTGTAACTTTTTATGCCCAGTGGTATTTCCTATTAAGCAAAAAGTAAATTGATACAGCCTGATTTCTCTTATGTCTTCTAAATGTGTTCTTGACATACCGATTCATTTTGTTTAAAATGTTTTACAAATATCAGCCTCTCTTGACATTACTTGTTATACTTATGTATCTCCAGTTACTGTTCACATATATATCATATGTCAATTCCAATTCATGTAATTTTTACTGCACTTCAAAAATAAAGAATTGAAAAAGAAAAAAAAAAGGAACGTGATTGTCTTGCTTGAGTGATTTGCTGCAATTGAGATAGAAGACAAAGAATAAACAAGCATGTTGGTTGCATCTTTATATCTTTAGAGTGTCAGAAAATGAGCTATGGTTTTTATGTGAAAGGAGCAGAATTTAGAGATGAACAGGTTGTGAGTTAGTGGATCCAAAATTTACCTAAATGATGTGGGCATACAGGATAGGGCTGATGTTTGTATCAATTAACTAAAGGATGACTGGTACATCATGAGTGATATTGTTCAAAGGGGAAACAGAAGGAACGTGGCTTAGAAGAGACTTATATAGTTACATAGTGATCTAGGTTGGAAAAAAAAAAGACTAAAGTCTGTCGAGTTCCAAGTTTAAAACACATGTTTTATGCTCTTCATCCAAAAGAAGGCAGGGGGAAAAAAACCCAGTCTGACACGATGGCTACATAAAGGGAAAAAAATCCTTTTTGACTCCATAATCGTAACTGCCTTTCAAGTAACAAGCAGATATCCTATTAGAGGTCTGGAGACATGACCAAAGAGGGGAGGAAAGAGTTCTAACGAAGAAATGTATATTTAGAAACATAGAATGTGACGGCAGATAAGAACCATTCGGCCCATCTAGTCTGCCCAATTTTAAAAAAATACTTTCATTAGTCCCTGGCCTTATCTTATAGTTAGGATAGCCATATTTTAGTGTCACCAGTTTAGAGGTGGTTCAGGTCGTCGATAAAATTGCCAAGAGAGGTAGTGTGGAGTTAGAACAGAAAGGTGTCAGAAACAGAACCCAAATGGAAGAGAAAGCAGATACCATAGAAAAGAAACACTGAAAAACTGTGGGAAAGGTAAAAAGACAAGATAAATAGTAACCAGTCACAAAATATGAGGTTTGAACAGTTTAAATGTCTTTGTAAACTCCATGGGCTAACTATCCACAGATTATGCTGAACTCATTGTTTCAACCTATTAACCATCGTATTGTTACTGAAATGGGTGGATACTAATTACACGGTTTGAGATCTTGACATGCGCATACCTCTAACAGGAAGGAAGTCATCCGCCTCTTGGATTTTCTTTCTTGCAAAGGGACTCAGGGACGGGAAGATGATGAGAGAGACGGACAAAAGCAAAACCTAAAACCATAACGTGAAATAAAAAGAGCAATTAGAGGTTGCAATTACATGGTTACATTATAAGGTTATATGACACTAGTGAAAAAAAAGGAAGTAGGGGCTGTGCCAAATCCTACAGTAAGATAGAATACAATGAGCTGCAAAATTTTGCAAATATAAGAGAATACAATAGTACAAAAAGGAGGGAATAAAATATTAAAATATCAGTAAAAAGAGTCCAATTGGAAGGATCTTACTCAGATCAAATATAAGATCCTTCCCATTGGACTCCTTTTTACTGATATTTGAATATTTTATCCCCCTTTTTTGTACTATTGTATTCTCTTATATTTGCTCATTTCTGCAGCTCGTTGTATTATATCTTACTGTAGGAATTGGCGCAGCCCTTACTTCCTTTTTTTCTTTTTCTATCTTTTTATTTTAAGGGTTTTGAGGGATCTCCCTTTTTAGGGTTGTTGCCAATTTAACTAGCGCTCACTTTCTTTTCTCGTTATATGACACTAGCTAGAATGGAATTAAACATAGAAGCTGCTAGCAGAAGAAAAGTACGTGGAGATTAAGAATGTAAGAGAATGTACAGGAGTGGGAAAGCTAAGGAAAAAAAAGTGTTTATTACATTCTTAGGTTTTTTCCAAAATCTAGATGGCCATCTTGGAAGTCCAACATGCCAATTGTAGGAGTTTCACAATGTTCGATATGGCAAGCTATTTTTCATTTGGGTTAAACTTTTCTTAAAGGAACACTATAGGGTTAGGAACACAAACATGTATTCCTGCCCCTATAGTGTTAAAAACTCTATCTAGCCCCTGTAAATATAGTAAAATATTACCTTTATAGGAAAGCATTGGATTGGCTGAGATTGTCAATTCTCAGGAGGTGGGCCAAGTGCGGAGCCAAACGTTGCCCTGGCCAATAAGCATCTCCTCATAGAGATGCGTTGAATCAATTAATCTCTATGAGGAAAGTTCAGTGTCTCAATGGTGGAGAAACTGAATGGCATACTGCACATTGTGCAGCACTGCTCCTGTAAGCACCTCTAGCAGCCATCTGAGGAGTGGCTACTGGATGTGTCCTAGGCTGTAATGTAAACACTGCCTTTTCTCTGAAAACACAGTGTTTACTACAAAAAACTTGCAGAGACTGACTATAATCACCAGAACAACTACATTAAGCTGTAGTTGTTCTGGTGACTATCCCTCGCTGTACTTGGAGGGATTTCAGCCATTTTCACTGATAGGATCTATGGGAAGCAAAATGATCATCTGATATTGCTATATCTGCAATGGAACCTTGCCTGCCATTTCATTTGATAACTCCTTAATGACAGTAGCCCAAAAACGAGCTATAAATGTTTATCGTCCATTCTCAGTGAGGGTTTCATACAATATTTAATATAATGTATTTATTCAATGGATAGAGGAGATAAGTATATATAAGGGAACAAGTGAAGAAGTGGGGCAACTATACTATACTCACTGCAACACAGGTCCCAGTTTGAGCTGCTTTTCCTGCAGATGTTGATACCAGAGCTTGTAACTTACGGAGCTGCTCGATAAGAGATCTGTAGAGTAAAGAGATAAAATGATGAGAAGTTCATAGGAAACATACATCACAGGATGGCTCTCCTCTCCCTTCCCCTTCCCGCCGTAAACTAGCTGCTGGCTAGCTTCTTGGTATTTTCTGTTCTAAGTTACGATGTTAAAAATAACTACTCACATATTGTGTTTCTCAAGCTGCAGGACTTTTCGCTGTAACTCCTGATTTTGAGCAGCACAAGCTGACATCCTGAAAGAAGTCAATAAAGAATGTTTGTGAATATGTGTTATCACTTTCCAATATTCTTGTTACTGTGTCTTTACGCATATGAGCAAGGTTCCAAAATCTTTAATATTATGTCAAATTACAGTCAGATTTGCTTTAGACCATCTAACAATTAATACTGTTAGCACTCACCTTAATTAATAACAGTGGTGATCAGGGGCATCTGGTTACATGTTAAGTTGGTGGGTGCTACACAACCCTTGAAATACAACTTTGTCCCATCTGTTATTTAAATGTTGTACAAGTTTTTTTTCCATTATTTAAATGTGGCATCCTAATGTCTTTACTTGGTTCTATTACCTGCAAACTATTCGGATGGTCCAATAATTCTGAAGGCTAAAATCATTAAGATGTAAGGTATATCCTGGTTAGTGAGCATTGGAACATATAATTCAGAGGCCAAACTCTGTATTACAGGTGTAACATATAGTTTATCCACAGGATGTCGCCAAAGAATCACTTATTTATTTATTGTATTAGACCCAATGTATTCCTTATGTATATTCTATCCTGATATATATATATATATATATATATATATATATATAATTAACAATTACACATTTTTACCTGGTCTCCAACCCATCCATATACTCTTTCTTCTTTTTCCGACTCTCCTGGGCTGACTGTTTGTTGCGGATTTTACGTCGAATTTTCTTTAATATGCGTTCCTCGTACTGTTGGGGGAGTCCATAAGCTAAGTTAAAATTTGCAAACCAAAATTGGAATATAATACATTGTTGTATAGTTCAGAAACCAAACTAAATTGGACATTGTCCATGGATTCATAAATGAACATGATTTATATTTTACTATATGGCATTTTCTATTTACACATCTTGCAGGTTTGTTCAGTATTTTAGCAAATATAGGCCTTAATGTACAGGAAAACATTAGTATTAGACATACAAACATGTGTTCCTAACACTATAGTGCTGGTGTGGCTGTTTAGATGACTGACCCCCTCTCTCTGTGGAGTTAAAAGATTTTTAAATTACCCTTCTCCCTCACCCTGCTGGTCTTGCTGCGGTTGGCCCATCTCCATGTATGAGATCATCATTCTCGAATATCTCAGCCAATCCAATGTTTTCCCATAGGAAAGCATTGAAAAAAGGCAGTTGCGCATGCACGACAAAACACAGACATGTGCTAATTAGCATCTCTTTACAGAGATGCATTAAATCAATGCAGGAGCAGTTAATGTAGGCGCTGCACACTGTACAGCAATGAGATAGCAAACATCTTCAGAAGCCGTCTGAGTGACTGCCACTAGATGTGTTACTGAGGTGTTCTCTGAAAAAGGCAGCGTTTGCATTGGAAGGCGTGCAGGGACATGCTGTAGACACCAGAACCACTACATATGTTTACTATCATAATTGCACTTACATTAAAGGGTCACTCTAAGCACCACAAAGTAGTTTTGGTGTATAGATGATGCTTCTGCAGTCCCACTGTTCAATTCTCTGCAATTTAGGAGTTATATCACTTTTTATGCAGCCCTACTCTGTACCTCCAACAGTCCCGCTTTTGGCAGGACAGTCCTGATCTCAGGGTCCTGTCTCACCATCCCTATAGTCCCCTGGTATCTGACATTCAGGAACACCAGAAAAATGTCCCCGGGCAGCACAGTGCGAGCACATCATTAAACGCACATGTGCTGTATAGAGGCACTAGGGCCATGCAGACAGTGCTACATCAGCGCCTCCTGCATGGTCCAGTCGTTAACGGGCTGCTAATAATGATGGTTAATAGCTTACTTCATTTTATACTAGGATTTCAAAAAGTTTTGGTAATATGTGACAAGAAACAATAATTATACCCTTGGTGGTGTGCTTACCTTAGTGAGAGGAAGCTGGGTAGGCAATGTTACCCCCTCTTTGCTGAGAAGTTTTCTCTCATCCTCAGTCAGTTGAAGCTCACCACCAGTCCCAAAGCTACAACTTTTATGCGGGGAAACTGCTACCTGTTGCTAAATACATGTAAAAAAAATGTTAATTGAGGCGTAAAAAGAGCCAATGAGCATTATGCACTGGAGGGGTGTTGTACAGATGGTAAAGTTTGCATAGCTCTGAACATACGTGGGCTCTGTTTCATACCATATCACAGCTGTTGGATAAAAGAAGATCTTTCACTGTTAGCTGGTGGTAGGGGTCAGCAGGTTGAGAAGGTAGTCCAAGACCGTCACCCTTGTAGTATTGTTCACCCCACATATCTGGAGTAGAATAAGTACAAGTGTGGTTAAAATGTGCCACCTGAAGAAAACATTTGTTGGTTCCACAGATATTCTAACAAAACATTGTAGGTCACGTGCTTGATTATCTGACATTGACCACTGGACTATACTGGTATATAGCACATATATACAGTATATATATACAGTTGTAATTAAAATAATTCAAGCCCCATTGAAAATCAGGTTTACTGTAAAATTTTACAGACTTTCAGATGTTTGCAGTGAACAAATCAAACAAAATCAATTGAAATAGCTCAACACAACGAATGCTTCAAGTGGTTCCCCCAAATTCAACTGAAAATGCAACTTATTATGATTTTTCCAGTCTCACAATTATTCAAGCCCTTCATGGCAAGCATCTTTAGTGCTGTGTAGAGCACCCTTATGACCTTCTGCAAATGAGATGCATAGCCAGACACCTGCTTCTGCTAGTGTTCCTGACCAATCTTAGCCAACTGCTCATGGCCTCCAGTTAAGTAATATTCTTGGGCTTGCGTGCTGCAACCACCTTCTTTAAATCCCACCAGAGATTAGCTATGGGGTTCAAGTCAGGTGACTGTGATGGCCACTGTAGAATATTCCGGGACTTCATCTGTGACCAACCCTTGGTGGAATTTGAGGTGTGCTTGGGATCATTGTCTTGTTAAGCTCCAATGACGCCCAAACTTTAGCTTCCTCACAGACAGCATGACATTTTCTCGTAAGATTTCCTGATAATTTATTGAATCCATCTTGCCCTTCACACACTTCAGGTTTCCAGTCCCGGAGGATACAAATCAGCCCCAGAACATCTTTGAACCACCACCAGGCTTAACTGTAGACAGAGTGTTCTTTTCAGTGTATGCTTCATTCTTTTCCTCCAGACATACCATTGATCCATTTGGCCGAAAAGTTCCAGTTTTGTTTCATCGCTCCACTGAACAGAATTTCAAAATTTTTGTTGCCTATTTATATGATTTTGAGTATACTGGAGCAGGCTTTTCTTGTGCTTTTGGGTCAGTAATGGTGTACGTCTTGGAGTACTGGCACAGAAACCTTCTGTGTTTAGTATGCGCCTTACTATGCTCAATGAAACTTCAGTGCCTCTTGCCACCAAGTCTTGCAGCAGGTTTTTTGCAGTCACCCAAAGGTTAATTACAACATGCTTTCTCAGAAATCTGGTTGCAGTCGTTGATAGCTTCCTTTTTCTGCCCTGTCCAGGTACTGTAATCACTGTTCCTTCAACTTTAAACTTGCAAACTATGCTTACAACAATGTTTCTAGGAACATTGGATACCTTTGCTATCTTTTTGTATCCTGATGTCTTCTCTTAACTTTGTAAACCATTCTTTTGACTAATTCACTCATATTCTAACATGCATTCAAACGTGACACTCAACAAACCCCTAGCCAGTTCAGTTTCAAGTGTTCCAACTCAAGGACATCTGGTTCAACTAATGAAGCCCTTGATTAGTTTCCACTCTTTGGATCCAATCTCTTATGTGCGGCGGGATTGATTTTTTTCCAGTATATAGAGATCAATTGGTTTCCCACTGTTATCAAATGTAGGAGTAGTTGAGTTTTTTCTTTGGGAAAGTTTGGTGGTGGGAGAAGGAAGATGAAAGAATCTGGGGTTGTGGTCAGTTTTTCCCCCAGTATCGTCTGTATGAGGCTAGAAATGCGCCTCCAGTAGATTTGTATTTCTGGGCAGGACCACCAGATGTGTGATGCTGTGCCTGAGGGTTGATGTAGTGGCATACTAAGGGAGGGGCGGGGGGGGCGGTCCGTCCTGGGTGCCACTCACTAGGGGGGTGCCTGGGGCAGACTGCATTGCCCCTCCTGCACCCATCGCCAAGACCAGCGGTCTGCAGCTCCGCAGTGTGCAGAGCTGCAGACCATGTGTCTCGCGAGCACTGCCCAATCAGAGCGTTGCCAAGGGTTACCACGGCAACGCTCTGATTGGGTCTCCCAAGATAAATGGTCTGCAGCTCTGCGGAGCTGCAGACCGGAAATGATGGCCACCGGACCACCAGGGACCCCACCGAACCACCAGGCAGCCCCCACTGGACCACCAGGGATTTAAGGTAATTTTTTAGTCCCCGCTGCATCACCCCCCCTCTCCTCATCACCCCCCTTTCTCTCTATGAGACCCCCCCACACCATCTCACCCCCCTCACCATCACCCACCCCCTCCCACAATCACCCTCCCTCTCCCTCATTAACCCCTCCCTCTCACCACACCCTCTAACAATCACCCACCTCCCTCCCTCATCACCCTCCCTCTCACACCCTTCCCTCCTCACTCACCCACCCTCCCTCACACCACCCCCTCCTCCAATCACCTCCTCCCTCTCACATCACCCCCTCACAAATCACCCTCCATCCCTCCTGAGCCTCCTCTCACTTCACCCCCACACTCACATCCCCCTCCCTCTCACACAATCACCCACCCTCTCTCTCCTCATCACCCTCCCTCTCCATAATCACTCACTCTCCTTCTCCCCATCACCCCCTCCTCCTCAATACTCTCCTCTCATCACACCCCCTCTCACTCCCTCACTATGACCCCTCACTCTCATCATCCTCACCCTCCTCCCTGAGCTCCTCTCAGGACCCCCACACCATCACCTACCCCCTCTCACAATCACCCACCCTCCCTCTCCTCATCTCCCTCTCACAATCATCGTAAGCGATTGGATAAAATTTTGGTGAATAATTTGAGGTCAATGTTAATTAGGGATATTGGTCTGTAGAATATTGCATATTCTATGTTTCTAATGATTATATATGGATGTGTGGATTGACATAAGTAACAGATGGTATAAGTCACAAGGCTTTCTTTGTCCGAGAGCTATGGAATGTAAGTTGGGGGTTTTGTCCTTATATGGCTAGAGTTAAACTCTAATGTCAGTATGGGCACATCTATATAGTAACAGAGGGACACAAGGTCGCTCTCTCTTGGCTCTTGGCTCTGTACAACGATGTAACTCTCCCATCAGAAGTACAGCAATTACCATCTGCTGATGAACATCCATTATCCTGTAACATCCTTTGTTGTTTTATTATGTATTAGTAACTAAGAATAAACCTGAAGAAACCGTAAGTCAGATTGCGTATTAGTACTTTTCAATAATATAGACATATATTATTGTGGCGAGCATTTGGCCCAAGACTATATATACAAAAGACGTATATATATAGCAATCAACTGAAGACAAGAAGAAATTAAGAAGATTTAATGTTGCCAATCGTTCAAACCAGATTTTACAGGTCTATAACTTCTGCATTGTGTGAGATCTTTGCCTGGTTTGGACAAGAGTGTGATGTTGGAATTTAGTGATTGTGGTGGGAGAGTGGAGCATTGCAATAGGTAGTTAAATGAATTTAGGAAGGGTTGTGCCAGCTGTGTTGAAAATATTTTATAGTATTTTGCCATAAAGCCATCTGGGCCTGGGCTTTTCCCCAATGGTAAACGTTTGATCGTCTCTTGATATTCTTGAATGGAAAGAGGTTGGTCCAGGGAGTGCCTAAGGTTAGCCGGTATGGTGGCCGAAATTCTACTTGCGAGAAACTCTTGGATGTCCTCTAGTGGAGAGGGGGTGGTCCTTAAATTATATAGTGAGGAATAGAAGTCATGGAAGGCCTTGGTTATGTCTGGCATGAGGTGAGAATTTTTGCCCTCTCTATTTTTAATAGCGGCTATAAAGGTTCTCTTTTTTTTTTTTGCATTTGCCTCCCTGTGCGTAGTAAAGGCTCTTCGTGAGTGTCAGTTTACGTTTGGTTTGGGTACTTAGGTGAATGTTGAGTTCTGTTCTTTTTTGGATCGTGTTTTGTATGTATCCAGAGTTAGGTTGGCTTTGTGAGTCTGCTCCAGCCCCCTGATTTCCCTAAGGAGTTGCGTTACATGTGTGATCTGTTGCTTTTTATGATTGGAGGCCAGTTGGATGAGTGTACCCCTGATTGTGCATTTGTGCACCTCCCAGCTATTCGGGTAAGTGGATTTGGGGTGTTGGTTGTTGGCGAAAAAGTGGTCTAATTCTGCTGAAAGGCGGTTGAATATTTCAGGGTGATTTAGGAGTGTGTCATTAAGTTTCCATTGGGACCTTGACTTGTATAAGGAAGGGATAGTTATGGTCATGGCAAGTGGAGCATGGTCAGACCGGGTGATCGGGCCATATGAGCAAGAGGATATCAGGTTGAGGAACCTGTGGGGGAGGAAGAACAAGTCAATCCTCGAGTAAGAGCCTGTTGTATGAGAGGAATAAGAGTAATCCCTTTGAGATGGGTGACATGATCTCCAACAGTCGAATAGTTGGTGCGAGTCTAATAGGCGTTGGGTATTTGATCTAGTTGATGCGAGGTATGTGTGAGCGTGGGAGGTAGTTTCTAGAGTGCTGTCTAGTGAGATATTGAAGTCCCCCCCTAGGATTAAGAGTCCCTCTGTGAAAGACCCCAGTTTTTTGAGTATCTTGTTGAGAGCTGAGAGTTGTTTCCTATTGGGTAGATATATGTTTGCTAAGGTGGTCGTGGTGAATCTCCCTTGCTCATCTTTTGCGTGTTCCTTGTATGTGAGAATTCAGTATGATTTCCACTCCCCTGGATTTGGACCCTGAGTGAGGAAGCTGAACCTGTTCTGAAATGAGTCTCCTGGACAAAAACTACCTCGGCCTTCTGTTTGTGGTAATCTGCCAAGGCAAGGTATCGTTTCTCGGGTATATTGAGGCCCCTAGCATTGTGTGTGAGGATAGTGATGGTGGCCGGCGGTAATGTCATGTCTGCTGGGAAGGGGATAGGTAAGAGTATGAATGGGGTGCCTCTCCGGTGCTAGTGTGAAGTGTGAAAAACTTTTCTTGACTGTATCGTTTCTCCCTTGTATTTCGGCTTGCGGCCTAAGTAGTTGTGGGGAGTTGTTTTGGTACCAGGTATAAACAAGTAACAATAAAACTATATACAAGATTTCAATTCTAGGGTACTGAGTGACCCAAAGAACTGGTATTGGCTGATGTCGGCCTCTGCAGTATTCCCGATACCACAGAGGGTCAATGTAAGGGTGTGTGACACCGCTGGTATTATTGGAGGGGGGGTGAAGGAGCACTTTGCTTCGTTTGCTAGTGTACAGGTGGAATTTGTGCGCCTATTAGCGTGTTGATATAGTTGTTGTCAACTGACAATATTATAAGTGTGTTAGTTGTAGATTTTGTAGTGTAAAAGCCTGAGGGTAGTTGCAGTTTTGATGTGTGCGCTGAGTCCAGAGGTAGTTATATAGAGTTATACCACATGATTGTATTCTGTTAGTATTTCCATGCCTGCTTATGCTTTACTGTTGCCCCCCTCCCCTCTCTGTTACCCCTGAATTGTGATAAACCTAGTTCTGTGGTCCCTGTCTCTCATCCATGTATGCCCCCCTAGGGCGAACATAGCAACCCCATGCGCCCTTCCAAAATAAAATTACATTGCTATTATACATAGACATGGCATTGCATTGGGAAAATTTGCATAAAATGAGTGGCATATGCTGCTATACGACCCTTCAGATGAAGACTGGAGTCTATGAAACACTACCTGAGGTTAAGTTCAGTGAGTCCGTATGTCCTGTATTTGGGGCATTCTCACAGGTTAGTGTAAACAGTCAGTAATCTACGTGATAGCCTAATAGATGCCGTCTCTGAAGCGTATAAATATGAAACAGTGGATGTCTTATCCGGCTGCCTGGGGTAGTCCTGCTGGTGTTGGTAGGAGAGCTGATCAAGTTCAATAGTCCATCTTAAAATCCAACGTGTTAGGATTTGTAAGGGTGATGTCTGTGGAAGGGTAGGAAATGGGATATTCTATGTCAGTTAGTTGTTGGCAGTATGGAGGTTCCTCTGGATCTTCTGCGCACTACTGTGTCTCAGGTTACTCCGTATTCTTCGGATCTGAGTAGCTGTCTTCTCGGTGACGTGAATCCGTCTGTCCAATTCTTTGATTCTTTGGTGAGGGGCGTCCTCTTTGAGATTGCTGGCTAGTCATCTGTGCTGGGTCAGGGGCGTACCAATCCATGATACGTACTTCTGTGAGTTGAATAAATGGCATTACATCCTGGTGTGTTGTGATTGTATATGTTACGCCTTTGTGAGTGACAATGAGGGCGAATGGAAACCCCCATCTATATCTGTAAAAGTTGAATTTTCAGCTGAATTTTGAGAAACCACTTGAAGCATTAGTTGTGTTAATCTATTTCACTTACTTTTATTTGATTTTGTTTTGTTTGATCCCTCTAGCATGTAAGCTCATTGAGCAGGCCCTCAACCCCTCTCTTCCTGTGTGTCCAACTTGTCTGGTTACAATTACGTGTCTGTTAATGTTAGTTCACCCATTGTACAGCTCTACAGAATTTTGCTGGTGCTTTATAAATAATAATAATAACAATTTGTTCATTGCAAACAGCTGAAAGTCTGTAACGTTTGACAATAAAACTGATTTTCAATGGGGGTTGAATAATTTTGATTACAACTGTAGTACATAGGCTACACATAGTATATATTTTAAGGAAAACCACAAGAGTTCAAAACTGCCATTTAACTGTGATCTTGACTGACATATGACAAGTGAAATGATGGGGAAAAAACTCACATGTGGCATACTGGTTAGAAAGAGATTTGTTGAGGTCCGTTTGCTGTTATAGATTAAAATAAGTAAATGTGTCATAAAGAGGCCAATTTAGGTTATGCCATTTCTTTCCATATATGTATCAACGGCAGATCCCTCAGTAATTACACAGCATCTCATATCACATCCAAAGCATCTGCGTATTAACAATTTACCAACAATAAGCTATAGCTAAGATACTACATATTTTCCACATTCAGAGTATTCCATCTGCCATTGCCTAACTAGCCAGTTTACCTTTTATCTGATTCATGATTTGTACCTCCAATGCTTACCCAGATCTAGGGAAACATCTGCTTCAGTTAGCCACCCTACATCTGACATTTTATGGCAAGCGTCCTCGTACTGATGTTGGGATGGACTGTCCTTCTGTTCTGAGTGGGCGTCTTCAGAGATTCCACTATCACTTGCCGATGGAGACCATAGAGTAGAGTCTGAGGGAGAGTCAGCTGATGCCAGCAAGGAGGATAAAAGTGCTTCTTTATCATGTGTGGTTATCTGCGTGTGCGAAAATTGTGATTGGTGACCAAAGAAATACAATGATAATGAAAATATAATGGTCTGTCTGTATACACTTACACTTGGTTCTGAAGCCGACCACCCAGACCCTGCAGACAAATCTTCATTGCGTAAGATTCCATCCTGACAATCAAAGAGTAGATCAAGAAGTTCCAGACTCTGTAAGCCACACAGCTGTGCCTCATGGGTCGGAAATGAAATGGTGCTGCCCTTAGAGAGAAAGTAAACTTTGGTCAGATAGTAGAGAACTATTTTGTAGTGTCTTTAATGTCATAGTTATGTATGTATATACAGTATCTCATAAAAGTGAGTACACCCCTCACATTTCTGTAAATATTTTATTTTATTTTTTCATGTGACAACACTGAAGAAATGACACTCTGCTACAATGTAAAGTAGTAAGTGTACAGCCTGTATAACAGTGTAAATTTGCTGTCCCCTCAAAATAACTCAACACACAGCCATTAATGTCTAAACCGTTGGCAATGTCCAAATTGGGCCTAATTAGCCATTTTCCCTCCCTGGTGTCATGTGAATTGTTAGTGTTACAGGGTCTCAGGTGTGAATGGGGAGCAGGTCATGGCAAAGAACTCTCTGAGGATCGGAAAAAAAGAATAAAGATGACATAGGCTATAAGAAGATTGCCAAGACCCTGAAATTGAGCTGCAGCACGGTGGGAAAGACCATCCAGCGGTTTCACAGGACAGGTTCCACTCAGAACCATGTTATGGTCGACCAAAGAAGTTAAATGCACGTGCTCAGCGTCATGTCCAGAGGTTGTCTTTGGGAAATAGACGTATGAGTGCTGCCAGCATTGCTGCAGAGGTTGAAGGGGTGGGGGGGTTAACCTGTTAGTGCTCAGACCAGATGCCGTACACTACATCAAATTGGTCTGCATGGTTGTCATCCCAGAAGGAAGTCTCTTCTAAAGATGATGCACAAGAAACCATGCAAACAGTTTGCTGAAGACAAGCAGACTCAGGATATGGATTACTGGAACCATGTCCTGTGGTCCGATGAGACCAAGATAAACTTATTTGGTCAAGATGGTGGCAAGCGTGTGTGGTGGCAACCAGGTGAGGAGTACAAAGACAAGTGTGTCTTGCTTACAGTCAAGCATGGTGGTGGGAGTGTCATGGTCTGGGCCTGCATGAGTGCTGCCAGCACTGAGGAGCTACAGTTCATTGAGGAAACCATGAATGCCAACATATACTGTGACATACTGAAGCAGAGCATGATGCCCTCCCTTCGTAGACAAGGCCGCAGGGCAGTATTCCAACATGATAACGACCCAAAACACACCTCCAAGATGACCACTGCCTTGCTAAAGAAGCTGAAGGTAAAGGTGATGGACTGGCCAAGCATGTCTCCAGACCTAAACCCTATTGAGCATCTGTGGGGAATCCTCAAATGGAAGGCGGGGGAGCTCAAGGTCTCTAACATCCACCAGCTCCGTGATGTCGTCACGGAGGAGTGAAAGAGGACTCTAGTAGCAATCTGTGAAGCTCTGGTGAACTCCATGCCCATGTGGGTTAAATCAGTGCTGGAAAATAATGGTGGCCACACAAAATATTGACACTTTGGGCCCAATTTGGACATTTCCACTTTTGGGGTGTACTCACTTTTGTTGCCAATGGTTTAGACATTAATGGCTGTGTGTTGAGTTATTTTGAGAGGATAGCAAAATACAGGCTGTACACTTACTACTTTACATTTTAGCAGAGTGTAATTTCTTCAGTGTTGTCACATGAAAAGATATAATAAATCATTTACAAAAATGTGAGGGGTGTACTCACTTTTCTGAGATACTGTATATATACAATTATTAAGTCCTTTTCTTCTCACACGAAATTATTAAGTATTCTTCTAGGCCATTTTTCCAGATGCTGAAATGTTATCAAGCAAAATGTGACCTTAATAATACCACGGTCACTCTTCCATCCAGGAACTTGCACAAACTCAAAAATTGTTCACCTTTTTATCTTGGGACATAGCAGGACTCAATACTTCATACTAACTAACCGTAAATCATGTAATATGCCTAAAAATACATGTACTGTTCCTAAATAGAACCTGCTAGAACCAGGATCTTCTCAAGACACGTAAAGAGACACTCTGGGCCCCTCAAACATGTCAACTTGCTGGTGTGCTATATGAGTGAAGAGTGTGTCCTCTAGAAATTGGCACTTTAGCACAAATTAATCTTATTACACACCCTGGCTGTCTATCAGACAACCTGTCCTGTTACTTCCTGAATGTTTAGCTCAGTAGAGCTAAACTTAAGAGGCAGCTTACTATCCCCTGATAGGCATCTGGACTTCCCGGTATTGACACTAGGATCATGCCACACTCAGTCTCATACCTATACTCTACACTCCAGCTCAATAGGACCGTACCACCATCCTTCTTTATAAGGAAATCAGAAACTGCCATTGGGAAAACCTTTACGCCAAACTACTGAAAAAAGATCTGTGAACTGGTATACCACTGTGCCCTGGCGAGCAAGACATGGGAAACAGCATATTTGGTATAAAACACCACAACTCCTAAGGACCATCAACCCCAGCCTAGATGGCCTTTGCTGGTGCTGCCAGTCCTATATAGGCACATTTCTACATATATGGTGGGAATGCCCACAGATAAGACCATTCTGGGTGGCTATCCATGCCATCCTACAAAAATTCTCAGACAATACGCCAAATCTATACCATGCCCCTTTTCTTCTGAACCACACCACAGTCCCAACTTCTCGATGCAAAAAAATCCGTCACCATATGCATTCTCATTGTAGCTAAGCAGGTAATTCCCCTGTGCTGGAGATGGACACCCCACCGCCCTGTCATCTTTGGTATACCAAAATGGAGGACTTGAGACAGGTAGAAGAGCTTACTCTCTCAGCTCAGGATCGGTTACAGATATACACCATCTGGATACAGTGACTGACTTCAGCCTATATAGAAGAACTTTAGTAATTGCTCACATATAGATTGACTGCAGGTAATCCTTGCTGAAGGGGGGGGGCGGGAGGTGATGGGGAAAATACACTAGCCCTTCACTGATGTCTTGGGTCACCAGCCTGGCAGGCTGCTGCAAACAAGAGAGAGGCTTTGCCCAGAGGATATCTTAGTCCGTACGGGACGGTCTATGGGTCACTAATGGTCGGATATGAAGGGTGGAGGGGGTGGAGGGGGTTGCTGGGGCAAAGTTAACTCCAAACTGATGGGTCACCAGGAACATACAGTAACTTAACTCATATGATCATTTGCTCTTTATGTTAACTATTTATGTTTTCAAATACAACTGACACAGTTTTTTCCTTGTCATGAGCATTGTTAACAACTGGACCTGTGAGTCCCCGATTATACAGTTATTGAGTTTATGTAAGAGGTCCTGCAAGACCAATATTGACACCTAACCTATAGACCAACCTTTCATACTAACATTGTGAATCAACCAATAAAATTTTGTTCACAAATAAAAAAAAAAACAACAACCTCAAAAGGCAGACAATTGCTCAGAGTACTCAAAAAATAAAAAAACAAATTCAGTGACAGGGGGCACACCAGAATACCTGCCTAAAAGAGCAAGTGTCCCCTGTCCTAGAATTGATACACCAGTGAGACACTCCAGGGGTGTCTCGAGGCTTAACCCCTATACTTAGACAAAAAAGAAATTGAGACAAGAGCATCTCCACTGTTTGGAGATGGAGCCTCATGAATATTAAAACAGTATCCTGAATGGATGGAGGATCAAGGTAGTGATATTGAAAGTAACACCACCAATGCGGGGATAATGACTAATAAAGTCCAGCCTTATAAGGTTACCCTCTGCCTCCTACAATAATCCAAACGCAAAAATAAATACTGTTACTAATGTAAAACAATCAGCATATAACTGGCTTTATTATAAATGGCCAATATAGGCTGAAAATATTAAACTTGGATAAAGTAGGACCGAAGTATATAGAGTAAGTTAAAAAATAGAACAGCTTCTCTCCCTTTAAATCTTACTAGACAGGTAGAGGAAAAAAATGAAAATGTGAAGAGATTATTAGGTCATCATGCCGCTAAGCATGTTGGAGATAACCAGACATGTTAGACAAACAAAATAAATAATAAATAAATGTGCCCAAAATAAAGATTATCTTAAAAACCGTTGGGGGCGAAACCAAGCCACTGACCTGGATGGACGCACGTTACATGAGCTCCGTGCAGACAACCGATTTAACTGGCAATTAAAGGGTTTTATAATACCCCCAACACACATATCACATACCTGCAACTGACCCCTATGACATGGGGAGAAAAACTAAGAAGCCCAGACCCGATAAGCAGAAAATGGGCATGAATAAAGGAGACCTATGGCGCCAGGCCCAGAGCGGCATGGACCCTAAAATGGCCGATTTCTCAGACGACGACACAGAGATTTCCGATGACATCTCCCTGGGGCTGACAGCGGGATACCCGCCGGAGCAGAGGGCCATCAGACCTCTCACCCAGACTCAGCCCCGGTGACAACGGCGATCATGAGGGATCTGATTGCAGACCTCCAGCGCACAATACAAGCAGACATGGCCAACCTCCGGAAAGACATACCAGGCCTCACAAGCCGCATGGGGGCGCTGGAAAATGACACACGCCATAACACCCAGCAAACAGCGGAACTCCAACGGGCAGTTCACGACCTACAACTACAACAGGCAAAATCAAACACAAGGTTTTCAATACTAGAAGACCAGAGGCGCAGACTAAACCTCAAAATTAGAGGCATATCAGAGAACAGACCGGAGACAGAGCTACCACACCTCCTAAGGAGACTACTCACAGCGCTAATATCACCTAAGCAAGCAAAACAGGTGGGACTGGAGGGAATATTCCACCTGCAAAAGTCGCCTAAAGCACCAGCCTCAGCACCAAGAGACCTCCTGGTCAGATTCCAAAGCGGCAAGGACAAAGCAGCTGTCATGGCCGCCGTCCGGAACCACACACCGTACACCTTCGAAGGCATGCCGCTCACATTCTTTGCAGACTTATCTGGGAGCACAATGGCATGGAGGAGATCACTCCAGACCTTTACTTCCCTCCTCCGATCTAAAGGCATCAAGTACAGATGGAAAATACAGCGCACGGTAGAACTCCAGCAAGGTACCTGTGGAGGCCTTCAGGAGGCACAGGCTCTTCTCCCCACTCTGGGGCTACCGAAGGACGCTCTGACCATGGCACAACCAGGCCCTACTTCCTCCCCACCCCACACATGGGACCCAGCAGCAGTGATCCCGTTCATACCTCGGGGAGCAACATCAGCCGCCTATGGAGACTCCACTACTTGAACTCTCCTAGAGGCATGCAAAGACAGACTTGCAGCTTACCCTCACTGGGTTGGTTAAACTTACTGGTTGCGCTTCTCAAGTTTACGTTTTTATTTTCTTGATTTCCTAACTTGTTGTTATGATTTTATGCTAACGCTACGTGCAGAGACCGCTGTCAACACGAACCACCCAACGGATAAGACCCACCTACACTACCACTACCTTACACAAATAAGGTATTACACTGCAACATAGCACCCTCAAACACACCCAAACCCACACAACACAAGGGCGACACTCCAACGGCTGTACTAACTAAAACAGATGGGACACGCAGACAATCACACAAGACCCAGCCAGGGAATCGCAATCCCCCGACAGGACACCATAAGCCCGCAAAACCCTGAGGCATTAGAGGGGACCAACACCAAACCCGGGCACCAACGGTATCCAAAGAGTCTCGGAGACCACATGGACTATCACAACCAGACCCCAAGCTCCCAACCACACACACACATCTGACAGACTCACCTCACATAGCCAAAACCCTACCCACACACCAGAAGGCATTAACCCCCCCTACCACGAGCAGTACTCCCCAACGAGCGACGGGTCCTTCAGTCCCAGACCACACTTCACTTAACACACGGACTCCCCATCCCTTTGACAATCAGCCCCCCATCTATGGGCTTAGAATGACGAGTAAAGTGCTGATGCTACAGATTGCAGATGCTACAAAGCTGGGCATGATTACTGCTCTAAATGTACTTTGAATAACCTACAAAGCTCAGCTGTATGCTAATATGATAGATTCAGTTCACCTAGTATATCTGTAGGTTCAATAGAACTCCTACTTTACAACTCTAAGCCCAACTAGTCTTACGAAACATCGAGCTCCTGTTAAGTTCCGTAGATAGCTAACTTTAAAATGCGGGCCGGCGTCTTAACACCTTCCTTTTCCAAACTATATGTGATAAACTAGACTGAATGACACAAATACTACAAAAAATGTGCAATCTCACTAGAAGCCATGTTGTTGATTTCTGATATGTTATTTTATTGCTGGCATGAGCTATCGTGGATTTTGCAGCGACTAGAGCATTGGATACTTTGGTCAGTGCCGTTTCCACAGAGTGCTTATTGCGGAAACCAGACTGAAGCGGGTCTAGCAAAGAGTTGGACTCGAGGAAGTCTGTCAATCTCACATACACAATTCTTTCAAGGATCTTGGATGCAAAAGGCAGTAGCGAGATAGGACGATAGTTGGATGGGGAGTTAGGGTCAAGATTGAGAAAAGAGAGAGATTGAGAATTTTAGTGAGAGGTGGAGAAAGAGAAGAAGACAGAGTACGGATGAGATGCAAGGGAATTGGATATAGGGAGCAGGTGGTGGGGCAGGAGTACTGGAGCAGAGCAGAAACCTCTTCCAATGTAGAGGGTGCAAATGAACATAGAACAGCAGAGGGAGTGAAGTTAGAGGAAGTATTGTAAGGGGAAGAAGAAATATGAGATATCTCTTCTCTGATTGTAGAGATCTTGTCAGTGTAGTGAGTTGCAAAGTCTGAGGCGGTCAAGTTAGTAGGTGGAGGAGGAACAGCAGGGCGAAGAAGAGAGTTAAATGTGTGAAATAGTCTTTGGGTTCACGGGAGAGCGTGGTTATGAGGGTATTGAAGTAATTAACTTTTGCAGAGGAAAGAGCCAAGCTGTATGAGCTCAGCATAACTTTATAGTGGAGAAGGTCAGATGCACAGTGAGACTTTCTACAACAGCGTTCAGCAGTTCTGGAGCATTTTTGGAGGTATCGAGTGAGCTTGGTGTGCCAGGGTTGTTGTTGGGGGCGCCTGCAGCATTTAAATGTGCAAGGTACCATGATGTCTAGTTGAGAGGAGAGGGTGGAATTGTAGAAGGAGGTTGCAGAACTAGGACAGGTGAGGTTTGAGACAGGTAAAAGGAGAGCTTGGAGATTAGTGGAGAAATGCTCTAGATTAAGACATTGGAGGTTTCTGTGAGAGTGATGTTCAGACGATGGTGTCAATTGGGTCTTAGGTATGCCAATGTCAAAAGTCAGCAAATGGTGGTCAGATAGAGGAAAAGGAATATTGGAGAGATTAGAAGCAGTACAGAGGTTGGTGAAGGCAAGATTAAGAGTGTTTCCTGCTGTTTAATCGTAGCTTGGTCCTTACTGCAATAGGAAAAGCCTCCATATGGATTGAGAGGCCATATAAACCACAACAAAAGGGTACATGCTGGAAAAAGGTAACCAGACCAAATTCCCATACAAATAAATATAAGTAAATTAAGTATGTTACAAAAAAATAACAAAATATATCATTCTACTCTAAACAGGATACTGTGGTGAGAAATTATATACAGTGCTATATTACATTATTGCATGAATCTATGGACTATTCTGAAATGAACGAGGTGTACGAGAAGCCCTCATTCAGACCGAGAGGGAATAAAGTTTTTAATTTGAATATCCAAAAGCTCTTTTTCTTTTGTCAATGTCACCCTTTCTGTCTCCCACAGTATTTTTTGATGTCACTAAAACGTATACCTTCAGAGGAACCTTCATGGTGCAATTTGAGGTGTTTTGAAATGGGTGTGTCAATGTGCCTGGAGGGGTTGACCGAGTTGACATGTTCAAGTATGCATTTTTTGAAGGCGCGGCAGGTCTCTCCTACATAGAATTTCTGGCAGCTACATGTCTGGAGATATATAATTCCTGTAGTCTGACAGTTGAAAAATGTGTCAGTAGTGCATGTTTCAGTATTGGTGAAATAGAGAAACTTTTACAGTTTCTGTCTATAAATCTACAGGCTTTACATCTCCAACACTGATAGGTGCCAGTGTGGGGAGACTTAAGCCAACGGCAAATTTTAGGATTTGTTGAAAAATGGCTTGGGATCAAGATATCTCTAAGGTTATGCCCACGTCTTGCTGTAACTGATACATATGGTGAGAGTACTGTGTTGAGATGATTGTCCTGATGGAGGAGAGGCCAGAATCTTTCGAGGATGCTTTTGACTGTATACCATCCTGCGTCAAAGTTCCCTATGCATCTGATCTGTTCTTGTGTAGTTTTTTAGGGGTGTCTTCCTTTAAAAGATCAGTTCTATTTGCTAGTAGTGCTCATTTGTAAGCCTTTTTGAAACATTTATTAGGGTAACCTTTGACTTTGAATTGTTGTCGAACTGCTCTGGCCTTCAGCTTAAAGGACCACTATAGGCACCCAAACCACTTCAGCTTAATGAAGTGGTCTGGGTGCCAGGTCCATCTAGGATTAACCCTGCCTGCTGTAAACATAGCAGTTTCAAAGAAACTGCTATGTTTATATTAGGGTTAATCCAGCCTCTAGTGGCTGTCTCATTGACAGCCACTAGAGGCGCTTGCGTGCTTCTCACTGTGAAAATCACAGTGAGAAGACGCCAGCGTCCATAGGAAAGCATTGTGAATGCTTTCCTATGAGACTGGCTGAATGCGCACGCGGCTCTTGCCGCGCATGCGCATTTAGCCGAGGAGGAGGAGAGGAGGTGGAGAGGAGGACGAGAGCTCCCTGCCCAACGCTGGAGAAAGAGGTAAGTTTAACCCTTTCCTTCCCCTAGAGCCCGGCGGGAGTGGGACCCTGAGGGTGGGGGCACCCTCAGGGCACTATAGTGCCAGGAAAATGAGTATGTTTTCCTGGTACTATAGTGGTCCTTTAAAATCCTCAGTTGAGGAACAGTTCTGTCTAAGACGGAGATACTACCCCACTGGTATGCCCTTCTTCAGTGCTGGCGGGTGGTGGCTCTCCCAATCGAGAAGGTTATTTGTAGCCGTAGGCTTGCGGAAGAGGGTCATTGCTAATTGACCATCTCTGTCCGTGCTAATTGAGATATCATGGAAGTTAATTTGCTTGTCACTCACTTCAGAGGTTAACTTAAGATTAATATCATTGGAGTTAAGTCTATCTACAAATTCATAGAACAGTTCTTTTGTGCCTGTCCATATTACCAGTAGGTCATCAATATAACGCTTCCACATTGTGACATATCTGGTATACCCCTCAAATCCTCCTTCAAATACCTTTGATCTCTCCCACCATCCCAGGTGGAGGTTGGCATATGAGGGGGCACAAGCCGTCCCCATAGCAGTTCCTCTCACCTGGTAGTAGTATTTTCCTTTTAAGAGAAAGAAGTTGTGAGTAAGTATGAAGTGGAGTAGTTTGATGACAAAGGTATTATGTGTACCTAGTGAAGGGTTGCGGGTTTCTAGAAAGGCTCTTGTATTTGTATGTGTGAGTCCCACTTGGTGTGGGATTGAGCTATGCAAGCCCTCCACATCTAAGCTACACAAAATGCTGTTTGTTTCGAAATTTCTATATTCTCCAATAGATTCAAAGTTTGCTTAGTATCTCTAAGGTGTGAGAGGAGGGTTTTAACAATTTCCCTTAGGATATGATCTACGTAAATGCTGAAAAAAAGGTTGTTTCTTATGAATTTTGGGTAGAGCATAGAATGTAGCAATTTCTTAACTAGCATAAAATTGTACTCATCTCTTTAAATTAGTGATGAATCAAGAGCTTCGTCCAAAAGGAATTTGAGTTCCTTGAGACACTTGTGGGTGGAGTCTCCGTCCAATATGCGATATGTGTCTCTGTCCCCAAATAATCTCAGTGCCATTTCAACATATTGATCTCTGTCCATCACTGCAACATTCCCTCATTTATCTGATGGTTTAATAATCAATGACTTTTTAAAGTTGTTTTAAAGCCTGTTGTTCTAAGGGCGTGATGTTACTACTTGATTTCAATGACGGATCTTGAATGTTAATTATTTTCTCTAATTCACCACATGTAAGTTCAACAAATAAATCAATGTACTTAAACTCTAATATGTAGGGTGTGAACTCGCTTTTTTTCCTCAGATTAGTAAAGGGTTCTTGAAATTGGTCAATATCTCATGTCAGTATCGATGAAAATATCCAGCAGGGCTATGTCATTCATATCTAGGGCTAGTTTTATAGCTCTTTTTTCGTTTTGTAAACAATGGAACTTGTGAAGGGCCAACTTTCTCGCAAACAGGTGTATGTCCAATTTGTCCAACAGAATCGATCACATTCGGTTATTGGGACAAAGGACATACCCCTGTGTAATATTTGTAATTCCGGAATAGATAGATCATGAGTTGTCAGATTAACTACTTGGTTCTCAGTAGTAATTAGACTTTCCTCTGTCTGTTGTACTGTGGTCTGGAGCGACTCCTCGTGTGGAGTAGTGAGGAGTCCTCCATGTTTGGTCTCCCTAAAAAGATACCCCTTTCTTTAGTATACTTCTAGGGTTGGGGTAAGATGACATAGAGGGCCCCTTTGTTTTATTGTCTGACTCAGATTCGCTTGTCCTCTTTCTATTAGTTTTGCGATAGATGTTACCAGTTTTAAAGTCGTTACTATCCCCGATTTTTTAGATTTCCTCCTCTACCTCCTTGTTAATTCTTTCTAGTCTTTTTTTCTCAAACATGCAGAGGACTTCCATTAAATTTCTAGAGCAAACCCCTGCCGCCTCTTCCCATTCTGTGATAAACTATTTCTCATCAGTATGTGATGCAGGGATGTTTTGGACCCTTAACCCTCTCGGAATTAGTTATTTTTTCAAGTAGTTTTCTAAGGACGCTATCTCCCAACCTGATTTAATTTGTTGTTTGAACAGGCTTGTCAAGTTGTTGAATGCAGAGGTAATGTCAGGCTGGAGGTTAAAACATGTTAAATTTTGGTCTGAGAAAACCGAGTCAGCCTCTGTATGCCATAGATTCATTTTTTAGCTCTGTCTGATAAGAAGCCAGCCATATTGTTTAACACTGAAATGGTGTAAAGGTATTGAAACCAAACTAACTAAAAAACTCCACACAACAAAATCTGTGACAGAGGGCACACCAGAATACCTGTCTAAAAGAGCATGTAACCGTGTAGGTGTCCCCTGTCCTAGAATTGATACACCAGTGAGACACTCCAGGGGTGTCTCGGGGCTTAACCCCTATACTTAGACAAAAAAAGAAAGTGAGGCTAGAGAGTCTCCACTGAGTGGAGATGGAACCTCATGAATATTAGAACAGTATTCTGAATGGATGGAGGATCAATGTAGTGATATTGAAAGAAACACCACCAATGCGGGGATAATGACTAATAACTAGTCGTATACAGTAAAAATCCAGCTTTATAAGGTTACCCTCTGCCTACTACAATAATTCAAATGCAAAAAGATATACTGTTACTAATGTAAAACAATCAGCATATAACTGGCTTTATTATAAATGGCCAATATAGGCTGAAAATATTAAACTTGGATAAAGTAGGTTCTAGTGAGGGATATTGATGGTACCCTGACCATTGGCGGCCATAGAGTGGTTAAATTTCTTTTGTCAGAAACCAAGCTTATATGACAAAAAACAAAGCTGGTAAGAGCTAGTACGCATCTAAACAATGCACTCTGGGATTATTTCCAGTGCTTAATATCAGAACTAAAGATGGCAGCCCCCACAGAAGTAAACTAGTGTAAGGCAATATATACACTAATAAGAATTATTAATTATAGGTGTGTTACAAAAAATGTCCAAACAGGCTATATTACCAATCTTTTAGTTTCAATAATGGTGAATGAAATGATGACAGTTTTCTTTTAAGGTCTTATAATAGTGTCTCTGTAAAGAAAACAAAACTCCACAGTCGTATTATCTCTGTATTTTCTTTCCTGGACTTTACCCCTATCATTTGTGTGTGCCAGACAAATTATCAAACGCAACATAAGGAAAACAAGAGGGTGGGGGGAAAACAAGCAAAGAGAGGGGAATAATCAGACATAAACATGGCCCAAATTATGGCAGGGACAAGGAATTTAAAAGAAGAAAGTACATATTCTATCAATGAGCTCAAAGAACTGTCTGAAGACATATTCAATATTATATATGTAACATATTTTCAGCAGAATCAAGTATCGAAACAGCAAAAAAAGAGCATATTAGCCAATAAGAAACCTAATTAGATCAAAGTATTCCAAACAGTAGAATGCATAAATTTATACATAATGAGTCTAAACACACTTAATATAATTTAAATTTTAGAAATGACCATTACCCAAAGGCAGGCCGAGAAGACAAAACATTATACACCTTGTCACGAGTGGATTGGATTTTTTTTTTTTAGTTAGAACAAAAAGTGGTGGGCATTGTGCAGTACAAACCAGCCCCCACTGTTTATTCACTAACCTCCAAATTGTGGAGAATTTATAGTCACGGCTTGGCAAAGTTCTATTACGTTTTGAGTTCGGATTTCAATTGACTGCAATTCAGAGTTTGGTAAATAAACCTGATAAAGTTTATTTGGTTTGTGATATAAGATGCTGCATGTATAGAAATGTGGCATGTATCTTATCTCTGCAATTGATTAGTTTATTTTTGTGAGTTGCTTTGTGTCACCTCATTATCTTTCATAATATTTAAAAACCAGACAATTTGATTCCAAATAGGTAGATTCCCAGATGTTGTGGAACTACAACTTCCATGATGCTTTGCATGCCTTTAAAAATGCCTTTAGAACGATAAAGCATCATGGAAGATGTAGTTTTAAAACATCTGGGGATCTACCTATTGGGCACATCTGTCTTATGGGGTTTTTGAAATAGAAACATAGAATGTGACGGCAGATAAGAACCATTTGGCCCATCTAGTCTGCCCAATTTTCTAAATACTTTCATTAGTCCCTAGCCTTATCTTATAGTTAGGATAGCCTTATGCCTATCCCACGCATGCTTAAACTCCTTTACTGCGTTAACCTCTACCACTTCAGCTGGAAGACTATTCCATGCATCCACTACCCTCTCAGTAAAGTAATACTTCCTGATATTATTTTTAAACCTTTGCCCCTCTAATTTAAGACTATGTCCTCTTGTTGTGGTAGTGTTTTTCTTTTAAATATAGTCTCCTCCTTTACTGTGTTGATTCCCTTTATGTATTTAAATGTTTCTATCATATCCCCCCATTTTTACTATTGTGGTGAAGACTCTCTTTTTGAGGCAAAGGAACTAAACTTAGTTTATAGGTCCAAAGCTCTTTGCCATCTATTACATGGCCACTGATGTATGTTTGGTTTGACTGGAAAAGTAAAAAGTCACTTTAAAAATCTCTCTCCAGCTGCTAAAATAGTTGATTAACTCAGAGTTAGTTATTTGTGTAATGTGAATGCGTGCCCATAAACTTTAGAATGTTGGTAAGAAAAAGAAGCATTTAAGAACTTTATAATGATTTTCTATGATTACAAAGTTACCATCTAACGTGCCACATTGCGTACTCAATTAGTCTTTCTATACAAAACCAAATGCACCTTCAAGCAATTCCACATACCAACAGGGGCAGAACAGTGAAGAGTACAAGATAAGAGAGGACACCCTGATGGTCCATGGGCACAAGATTTCAGACAAAGAACCAGAAACATGTTTAGAGATATACACAAGCAGAGTTTTGTATAAAACATCTACATTATGCAACAAAATTCCCTTTACATTAAACATTGCACACAAATGCCTCTTAACCAGATAACTAAATACATATAGAGAGCATATATGCTGGTAACAAGCTCAATATGTTTTGATTTTTTTGTTTTTTCCCATTGTGTATCTATACTTGTTGCAATAGTAGACAAATTATTACTATTATTGCAGTCATCCACATTAACACATCATCTAACCTGTTTCGTGTTAATCTCCATGTTCCCTGGAGCTTCCCTTTCAAAAGGCTTACTTTCCTCTTGCTCCAGTGAGTTAACCTTCTCTTCAAATATACTGCTTTTTCGGATTGGTTAAATTTTCCAGTGCAGTTTTTCTCTCTTTCTCTCTCCACCACAGTTCCCAAAAAAGTCTAACGCGGTGTCACAAGCTTATTGCAAAATGCTTTCATTATCCCTAGGCTCCGTGTCACCTCCCAGCCACCACTAGGAATTGGTCCTTGTGCTGGGGCAGGGGTCACCCTCAGTGTTTGTGAAACAAATGTACAAAGTCTAATTCACTGATGTCATGATGACCTTTTACACACATTACTGTACTAACTCTATCACTACCAAGACATCACCCATTTACTAATATACTACTGCTAATAACATACTACTGCAGAGACGATTGACGGTAGACATACTTTCTTGTAGGTTTTCATTGGCTCCTACAAGATGATTACCTCAAATGCATGCTTGACTTCGTGTGACTTAATCCCCCCAGACAAACAAGCTTTCTGTGTGTGCAATGTGCATTGAGCCATCCTTATGTCCAGGCACAGTCACGAGTACACATACTCACGTATATACATTCACAGACGCACAATATACTTATTGAATCCCTCCTACCAGAGCCGGGCATTTTCTAATCACAGCGGCCCAGTAAGATAGGGCAGGGCAAAAGAGGGGTGTTTTGTCATCACCAATTTTTGGTGATGACAAATTTAAAGACATGCTTGCTCTGTGTGTGCTTGTGATTTGTCTCTGGTTTCTATATAAGTGGGATACCAGAGGACAAAAGGGCCAGGAAAGCGTATTGGAAACTGCTTGTGGGATTGCATGTGTAGAGTGAGCTGCGTGTATGGTATGGTATTTTGTGTAAATAGGCCAGCTTCAGTTGTGTTGTGTTTGTGGTGTAAAATGTGAGGCTAGGGATTGTAGAGAGTGAGAGAGTGTATATAGGAGGCATAGTGTGTAAAGGGAGTATAGCGAGAGTGTGCATAGGGGCTGTATATGTAGTATGTGTAGGGGCTGTAAAGAGTGTGTGTTTAGGAAATGTAGAGTGTGTATTTGTGTACAGGGGATCTAGTGTACACATAGGTGATCCAGAGTGTGCATGTCAGGAATGTAGTGTGTGTTTGTGTTGAGGATTCAGATTGTGTGTAGAGGATCTAGTGTGTGGGTAGAGGATCCAGGGTATGTATCAGTGATGTAGTGTGTGTTTGCCTGGAATGTAGTGTGTGCAAGTGGTGCAGTGAGTGTGTAAGGGATGTAGTGTGTGTAAATGATAGAATGTGTGTATAAGATATGTAGAGGCTATAGGAAATCTAGTGTGTGGGGTGCAGTGTGTGTGTGTGTGAGGGTTGCAGTGTGTGTCTGGGATGTAGTGTATGTGAGGGATTTAGTGTGTGTGAGTTGTTCAATGTGTGTGTGAAGTGTTTTATGAGTGTGTTCATGTGTGAAAGGTGCATTATATGAGGAGTGCAATGTGTGTGTGGGGGTTGGGTGCAGTGTGTTTCTGTGTGTGTGCGTTTGTGTGTGAGGGTGCAGTGAGTGTGTGTTTAAGATGCAATGTGTGTGTGAGGGATGCAGTGTGTGAGTGAGGGATGCAGTGTGTGATGGATGCAGTGTGTGTGTGAGAGGGGTGCAGTGTGTGGGTGTGGGGTGCAGTGCTTTAGTAAGGGTTGCAGTGTTTGTGTGAGGGGTCTAGTGTCTGTGGGCGTGGGGTGCAGTGCGTGAGTGAGTGAGGGGTGAAGTGTGTGTGTAAGGGGGTATTGTGTGTGGGGGGGTGGCAGATGGGAGCAACGCTAAATTATTTTTTTTTTTTATTAAACAAATTATTAAACTTTATATCCCCTTTCCCTTCTTAATTTTCTCTGGGAGGAGGCACATTGTTTATAAGCCCTAGTGGTCCGGTGGTGAGTAAATTCTAACAAGCAGTTCCTGGGGTTCAGACTTGCGAGATTGAAGAGTTGCCATGGTAACCATGACAGCGCTCCGACCTGGCAAAAGTAAGAACCCAGCAGAGCTGGAAGCTAGAGCACCCCGATCTTACCCTTTCCCTCCCATGCCGGCTGCCGCAGTGAAGTGCCTGTGGGTCAGTGAGGGAGATCTTGGATCTCTCCACCGGCTTGTCATGGAAAACGGTTGGAAAGTGCCAGCTCTGCATGAGCCAAATGGGGGAGATAATCCCCATCTGGCATTGGCCAGGTTTTCCCGACGGCCTGTCCAGGCCTGTCTCCTACTGTGACTTTGTTAGTTGCTGCTAATATCTTGTTGGGGGCACACAACCATTCCTGACAATTCCTTCATCATTTACAACATTCCATATTTCTCCCAGAGAAAGTAGATCTGTGACTGCACACAAATCTCTGAACATCAGGCCATTCTATTCACCAACTACATTCTAGTCAGAGTTATCTAGGGCTCTGATCCTATTAATGCAAAATTATTTTTCTGGACCAATGATCACACAAACTTATTAACATCCAATAGTGTGTTACATAGGTCCAGATCCTGAGCAGGTGCAAAGTTCAGTGAGGATCCTCTTAGAGAGGTATGTTATAGGAACTATGTCCTTCATCCTTGGATGCAAGTAATTTTCTTTGCTCTCTTGATACTGTATGTCGTCTTGATATTTGTTCCTCTTCAATGTTGGGGTTGTGTGGGAAAAAACTGCTCTTCATTAACAGCTGAGAATACCTCACTAGTACGTTGAGAATCAAAAGTGCAACTTTTCAGGCCAAAGACATTTGTGAGCCTGTTTCATAATTTTCCTTGTCTGTTATAAACTTATTTTGTCTTATAATACTTCTCTGTCTTTGTGACACTTTCAATGTCACTCTGTATTTCCACCTACTGTATTTGAGGTACTTGATAACAATAATAATTAGGATCAGTGAACATGATGGGAGTGGATCAAAACATTCCAACAGCAGAGGGGGTCCTACCTTATGCTCAGGATTGTTTGAATAGGTGTGTGACAAACGCTCCTTCCCACGTAAGCTTGCCACGGACTCTTGGAGGAGTGTGGAAGCCGGTCTCCTGCCCACCGACTCTGGTCCAGGTCTGGGATACCGTTTGGGAGTTACTGTGCCCAGCTGCCATTAGTAGCTGTTCCTGGTTGCCCCTGGTTCGGCACTTACCCTTCTTGCGAATGGAACCGAACGCTAGCTCTCTGATGGCCGTCCGCATGAACCAAGCTCACGAATAGTCCTCAGCGGTACTTAGCCGCAACCACTATGGAACTGTTTTCGGCATGAGGTGACAGTGCGGTCCCAGACAACTTGGTTCGCGGTTTTGACCCACTTTAAAGAGCTTTTTGGAGGGAAGGTGCATTAGACCAAGGGGAACACACACTATCTAAGATCCAGACAGAGCACCTCGTATTACGGCTGCGAGAGCTCACGAAAGTGGACCGGAAAAAGCACCAAGCACCCTGGAACTATTTTGTTTCCCCTACAGTGCATGGATCAGGGCTATTTCAAGATGTGCTATTTGTGGGGTAATTATATATTTTTATGATATTTTGAGGTATTTTTATGTTTTCTATTTTTGTGTTTGGCTCTCTGTTTCTGGGAGATAATTAGCTTACCGGTCTTTAACACAATTATCTCCCAAGCCCAGAGATTCCTGGGAGGGGCTTGTGCTGAATACAATGGAGACCCCCTGCTGGGGTCTGCGCATCAAAGGCCAAGTTTGTTGTCTAGTTACTGGGAGGGAAAGAGCTTTAATCACTGTTCAGAACCTTGTTCCAGCTCGTGGAGGATTCGGTGGGGAAAGTCCTTGTAAGGACCAGAGCTCCCAGGATTGTATGTCATCCAGTACCTGGGAGGGAATAGAGCTAGTCCCTTATCCTGCTCCAGGACAGAGAGGCTCCAGGAGGACCCCAGTCAAGCCACAGCGCTGAGGTTTTCCCTTGTTCCAGCTAGGAAGCGGTCCTTGTTGGCAGTACCCAGCCAGGGTACAAGGTGCACTATAAGTACTTGATAACAGTAGTCTAATACCTCCAATCCCTGTTATGACTCTCCCAGTGAAAAAATGTCAGGCACATAAATTTGAAAAAGCAGTTAATACGAGAGCATTCATTAACTTCCAAATTTAAAGCATATGTACTGCACTCCAAAAGTATCCAGCTGGCACTATAAAGACCAACAGTCACAATAATACAATAAGAAGAAATATTGGATAGTGAATACTTCTTATTTGATTATCATCATTCAAAGGCTCCATACTCACCTTCAAAGCATCTTCTAGCTTTTCATGCATATCACAATAATAACGATTTTGGTTTACAATTTGCCATTGTTTGTAGTACTTCTGGGATTCTTTACAAGCTTGAACTTGGTTGAACTTTTGAACGTGGTGGTCATAGCGAGATATTGACCTCTACTTATAGGAAGTCTAGCCTGAATTGGAGGCTACTAGTAACCTCCATTTTCATCTCATGAAATGTATACCGATTGGGCAGCAGAGGCCGCCTAAGGCCTTGCGCTGGTTGGGGCCTTGTGGCCGCCTAAATCAACTTAGGGCAGACTGACATATCGGGTCTTCGGTCTATGACCAAGGGCACGACACAGGAGGGGGCTGGCATCTTGCCCTTTATGCCGTTGGATACGAGGCCCCTCCAGTCAGTCTGCCCTGACTGAGAGCCGAGCACTGCCTCCAGTCTGCATCTCCGCCGGGTGTGAGCTGTAGATCGGACCACCGGGGAGAGAGGGCGCCCACCGGACCACCAGGAGAATCCATAGGACCACCAGGGAAGGTATTTATGAAACCCCTCTACCCCCAGTCACAGCAATAATTTAATTGCCCTTTCTTTTCAGCCTCAGTGACACACACTGCCCACAGTCTGCCCTGTCGGGAAACTGTCGCCACAATCATAATATCCACCCACAGGTTTACCTATTTAGGCCGAACATAGCAGCCGTGGGAACCTTCGCATACCAGCACATGCACACCGTATATAGTGTGCTGATCCCTGTGCCACACGCGCAGCATATAAGTGGGACTATGGGGTCTCAAAGTTGTCACCACAGTCACTACCTTAAGGGCCACACTTCTTCATGTACCGTATTCCTTTATTTTAATTTAATTTCATGTATTTAAGTTGAGTTTAAGTCTTGTTTTTCATATACACATAAAATTACACAGGAGCCATGGCAGGGCCACACGTGAGCCACCTGGGTGGATATTGGCATGTAACCCATATGGCTCTACCTTCTACACCCAGTCGATATTACCAACCACATTTG